ACCTTCTCCACGTACGTGTTCAACCGTTGAAGATGTTGAAGAACATTATATAGTTTATCAGTCACTGGACTCACAATATATCAGTACAAAGTATACTCTCTCTTGAATGCAGGTGCAATCGAAATGAAGAATTTCAATGACAAATTTTAATGCAAACGCTCAGATGCAAATAATCATGAAAATGATTATTATCAATACAAAAGAATACTCATACAAAACGATTTTAAAACGAGAAATTCGTAACGTAAATATCAATACAAAAGAATACTTATACAAAACGATTTTAATACGAGAAATTAGTAACGCAAAAGTGGTACACGTCAGCTGAATTCAATAGTCAATAAATAAACGAATGCAAATAACGCTGTGAACATTTAATCGGCAACCTTTCAAACAATGACAAAAATAAATTTTCTCTGAAACCGAAGTCGGTGAACGTAAAGTTTCAACAATAAACAAATAAAACAACTAATAATACGAAAGTGAAACGTTGTTCATCGGAAAACGAAAGCATTAATGAAAACGCTTGTACAAATTCTGTGATGTGTGAATGGCTCAATTCCACAAGACATACGCGACCATTCAAAAAAATGCGATCTTTCACTCGACGGCCACACATGCGAAAATATAACTCAAAATGTTCTCTGAAACCGAAATCAACCCACGTAAAGATTCAACAGAGAACTAAGAAAACAATTAATGATACAAAAGTGAAACGTATTCATTGGGTAACGCAAGCATCGACGAAAATACCACAAGGAGAGAATCAATCAGGGACAAAATGGTAAAATGATGATGAACAGTTCTACAATGATCGGGTTATACAGCTGTTGACCACAATTTGAAAACTGCAGCAAAATGTGTGGATATACAAAATAAAGTTGAATTCACAACGTTCATATGAAAATAAATCGGATTAGTGAAATGAGGCATAGACATATGCATACAACATGAATGTGGATCTTGAATGCGCAATACAACACTAAGTAAAGCTCATGAATGAAACGATGCACTGGATGTTTAGAATTCCATGTAAGTACATACCATGAAAAGATGTATTTTTGGATGCTAAGAACCAGAAAATGGAAGTAGAGAAGGGTTCTGAACAGAAATGAAGCAGCCATTTCACTCACGTTGCATCGCCGAATAAAAGGAAACAAGCTCAACAAAACAGCCGTTGCAATAATAACCGATAAAAAATATCACAAAAGTTTCAGCAGCCATTTGTTGGTGTTCATCGATAATACAACTGCCGATGGAAGGTTTCGAGTGTTGCATGTATTGATCCGCAAGCATCCTCAATATGGACTGCTCGTTCCCTTCATTCGTTTCAAGTAAACGTCGATTAGCTTCTGCTGAAACGCGAACAAAAACTTTTACTGCTGAAACTCCGGTATCCAACAAAAATAGAGTCAAATTAGATTTTTAATGAATCCGCAACGAGAATCGTCAGTAACCATTACATATATGCAGTCAACTCAAAACGTTGTTCATGGAAAAAATTTTCGAAAACTGGAGAAAAACAATCGAATGACGACAACGAAATCTTGCCCAAAAGTTGTTCATACCTTTCCTTTGTTGAGTTTTGCGAGATATGGTTGCATCACTTCTTCACCGACGATTCTGATCATTGCCACCAAGCAAACAACACTCTCCTTCCGGATTGAACTGCTTTCGTAATTGTATGTCTGAAGAACGTGATAACATCAAAATACAACGATAGTCTATTATGCAGTCACCAACAATAGTATCCACTGGAACACCTCACTGAATGCAATTGAACAAGATTAAAACAAAACATAAAAAGGCCATTATCAAGAATCAAATGAAGACGCGAACGAACATCAACAATTGGCGGTGCTAACTCATCGAGTACCAATTCGAGCTCGGGTGTGTTCAACGAATCGATGACCTTCGTTAACATTTTGAGCGCTGTATGGATCTTTTGTTCTTGTGTATCCGACTTGATGACAGCGAGCAGCACTTTACGACATGTCGCTGATGAAACGTGTGTTGCCAGCACATTACCACAATCCTCTGCTGCCGATACCACCTAAATTAACGCATCAATGGAAATAGACGAATCATCATTTTATCTTCTGCTTCACTTTCAAACAATTGTTCTTGATGATGAAGTAAAAAAGTGAAAAACACATATTGATGACTGCTCAATCAAACGTATGAATGCGACATGATGCGGGGCACTCTAAACGTATGAATACAGCAAAATGAAACAGCAACTGAAGGAAAACGTTAAAGTGAAACGAACCAATTTCGACTCGTCAGTGCACGCATCCAACACACGCATTAACGTCATCTCGGCATACAAATTGACGCGAGATGCTTGCGAATGACTGAAAACAATCTATTCATCTTTTTGTGGAAAACATCTTTGAATTATTGCCGCAGCTTTTTCGTTTTGACCACAGAGAAACGTTCCTACGAATATAACAGTGAGGGATTGCATGAACACAACAAAAAATATCCCACCAAATTTCCTTGAGTAGTTTCAGCGCCATCCTTCTCACATCGGGGTCCTCATCCTTGAGAGTTTCCATCAGCAGTAGAAGAATCATCTTGAAGTGTTTGTCCCATAACGAAAAAAGGTTGTCTCTCGTCACTTGCGACAGAACGGCCATTGCACGAATTCGCTCGGCACTTCTGCAAGCTCAATAACTTTTGTAGAGTAAGAACGAGNCTCACCCGTAGATGTAAAAAACAAGATGATGAAATTCCTGAAAATAACGTTTGGAGAAATTATGATTATGAAGAAAATTTGCCGTTGCCCCAGTACTTTTATCGTTACCTTTGATTATGTAGCGATAACTCTTCACCAATCTTAGTGATCAATTCTTCTTGTTGTTCCAGATCATTGGCCAATCCTTCAGGGTCGAGAATATATCCCGACAAACTCTGTAATCATTATAAAACCTTAGACAATCCCAAAAAACGGACATATTTCTACACTCAACAATAAACCAATAAGTTTAATCCAACAAGCGACCGCCGAATTTGTTTAAAATAATTCGGAGATTGCGAAAATGAAACACTCAAACAGTTAACTCACTCCATTCGGGTCCTCCCTACTTGAGCGACGGAATGAACCGTTCTCGGGCAAGCTGCGGAATGATCCGTTGCCAGCAGTGACGGGTGAGCGCATTGGTGATGTGTGCATTATTGAACGACTATCGACAAACTCGTTTATCTGCAGACGGTCAGAATCAATTACGTTGCTCTGATCCATCAAAACAAATCACTTCAAACAACTACAAATTCGCATTTTATGATGTGAGAATACCGATTATTCACAAATTTCAAAACAGTCAATACCTGTGCTGTTGTTTCCAGAATATCTGCATGCGCGTCACCGGAGCTGAAATAAAAAGGCGTTATTCAGTTGCGAATGTGACTTATTTCGGCAACTCTCAGCATTACGTTCACAGGTTGTTCATTCATCTAACTCTAAAGATAGCAGGTCAAATTCACTGGTTGAATTCAAGACTATTTTGTCAGTCAAAATAGACGAACCAATCCATATATACATTGCTAGAGAGTTAAGTTCTCCTCGTCATTAAATCCGTAACTAATGCACCAGACGACAGCAGCGCTAAGCAAAGAAGGTGCCGAAGTCTTATACAACGGATTTTTATATATTCGCTCAAAATGGCAAATTTTGAGCGAATATATAAAAATCAGAATATAATCACAATATAATCTGCACGGAGGAAGATTATAATTCCCAATGAAATAATCGCTAGAATGAAAAGACAAAAGAAAATGAACATCAGAATCAATATATAAACAGATAAATGAGCCAAGCGACCAACGAACCAAATATGCGACATAACTGAATAATACCAACAATTACATTACGTCAGCAGTGCCAATGGAGTCCAAAAAAAGAAAGGCGCATCAATCGTGGAGTCTGTTTGCATTTACGATTCAGTATCCTTTAGTGCTCTTTCAAATCACTCTGGACACTAGGCGTTCTTGTTTTCAAAGAAAAATACAAGAATTGGATGTGTTAACCAGGCTCAGTGCATACTAAAAGAGACATGTGACGCCGAACAAGGCAGAAATTGACCGTAAACGTTTTTCAAGCTCATGCTCAACACTGCGGACATAAGCCTAGCACCCATTTAGCCAATGTAAGATTTTGCAATGCATTTACAATTTACCTCCTCTTCACAGATTCGGTCAAACTCGAAGAAATCAATGTACAAATGATCATCACCTTACATCAACTAAGCGCGGATAGGGCAGAGCAAACGCAAAGTATAATGAATAAATTCCGTATGGGCGCAAAGTGGGAGAATGAAACATCGCTTACTGCTGACAGCGAAAGCCGTCAGAAAGCGCACGATCAATGAGTGCAATGTGCTCACTCTAAATACTCTGGCAGCTAAACTAGAAGAGTGCCCAAAAGGGAAAAGCATCATTTACATCTTAATCAATACTCCTTCCAGAACAAATTAAGTCCTGTCTGGGCATTCAATTTAGTTGTGTCTGAGTCTGAGCATTTCATTGATAGCACAACATTTTTCACTGACATTTTTTATTATTGATTTTAACTGCATTCAATCCCTCTTTTGTGCCGAGTTCAACTGATGAAAAACGGTGTGATGGTAACGATAAAAACATCAGGGAGATTATGAGAATACTTCAAAATGCGAGAGGTACAAGCAAGCAAGTGCAAAGAATGTAGAGGAGCTTACTTGTATCCATTAGCAGTTGATGCGCCCAAAGCACTGCGACGAATAATGTCCGACAGTCGATCCTTCTTATCAGGTGAGAAGGTCGCCATCATTGACGTGAAATCGGATGCGTTCAAGTGAAACATATTCGATATCACCTTCTCGCTTATCTAAGCAGAATCTACATGAAATTCACATAATGCAATCGGTATCGATCACTAAGAGATAGTATCCGAAAGATACGCAACTATAGGGCACAATGAAAAAGCATCAATTTTTCATTAATGCTATCTTCAGAAAAGTCAATCGACAGAATTACTTTTAGAAGAAATCGGACAAACAAGAAAACAATAATTAAACGATCTAACCGTTAAAAGTCCAGCGTTTTTGGGGTCGTCAACCCACTGCAGTATTTTGTTGATGGACTGTCGAACTTCGCTTTGATTGAGTAACGATACCGAATCCATCTTTTTCATCAATTCGTAAAGATACACCAAAAGTCCATGTTTGATCTGTAAACAAGTATATCAGCCGTTCCTCATCAAAACTTTTTAAAAAATATCACTCGCTCAATATCTTCACTATGATGGATAATCATTTATCACAATTTTTTAACCGACAATCGTCGTTCCGATTACCTACCTAAGGTTCACTTTTCATTAAACCACGGCAGAATGGAATGCTGCAATATCGATGTATGCAATGCATTTGCATCTATTCATATGAATTTCTGACCATATTTACCCATTTTGTCAAGTCGGAGACTAAATTTATTACCAATTCAAGGGATCAGCTCAATTAATTAGTTGAGCAATTGATTACCTTATAGCTGACATTATTTCGAATAGGATCTTGAATGAATTTGCAGATAGCATAAAGCTGTTTCTCAGGGTTGAAGTTTTGCCGTACTGCATCAATCATAATACGGAATTTTTCCTGATTGCTCGGCAGAACATCATTTGCTTGTTTGGTGACAAGTTTCGGTATTAAGTGATTCAGCCAATCGTTCAATTCACTACTATATCGTTTCGATAATGCCACCAAAGCGTCGCATAATGATTGCAGTAACTGAAATACGAGTGAGTTAATTTTTCAGTGGATGCTGGAACAAATTTCTCGTACAATTGTTGAGAATATGATGTTGAAGTCAACAATCGAAATTATGTTTAACAATGGAAAGTACGCAGAAAAGTTTCAAAAACAACTTGCACGGTACAAGAAGCGGCACCCATTATAATAGTTAAAATTTCAATACGCCACCGTTAGCAGAACGATTCCCAGGACCAAATCATATAACAATTGAAACCTTATGCGATCCTTCGCCGATGAGCACGTTAAGCCGATCGACAATCTTCTTGAGATCAATATGACTGATCTGACGATCGCTTGATATGATTGTATACAATGCTTTAAGGCCTTCCTTCTTGTCCGGTATTAATGTTGATGCACAGCACGCCAATGCATTCGTTAATTCGGCTGTTTCGAACCTACTAACAGCATAACATCATGAAGTCTTTATTAAATATCGCTCTAACGGAATCATGTAATACCTCAATCCATTTGAGTGGCCTCTGTAGGTTTTCATGACACAACTTATCACATAACTACCAAAGACACTCTCATTCAGTCGAAACATATCGATGAATGCATAAATGATGTCAGCCCGATATGACTGTATCACAATTTCTTGAACATCATTAAATTACCCAAAAGGTTGACCGAAAGATAAATTGAATAAGATTCAAACCTGAGCGAATCGGAGCTTGCTGAAGTAACATCTTCGAAATCTTCTGTTTGATTGCGCTGAAAAACGATAATATGTTTTGGGCCAAAGAATCGAACATGCTTGTACCTGGGTGATGTAATACAAAATCGTTGAAATAGAGTTAAAACATGTGACACCACCTACCATACGTCCAGCTGTACCTATAAGGTTTGTTCTTTGAGTGATCCGTGATGTTGGATGGCGTGTATTTGGTGAATTACTTCTACTACCAGCTACAAAACATTACTTTACAATTCAAGAGTGATCGTTTAGTTCTCGACTTATTCGCGAAACCTCATTAAAACATGTCCGACAATGCATTAGAAAAAAGAATGAACTCAACAAAAATAATTTTGAACTGCACTAACGTTGTGATCGAACAGCGCTGTTTGGTGCAGCTGATAAGGGTGCAATCTGGCGCTTTACTAACGGACCACCGACTCGCTGGGAGGATGTAATCAAACGTTGCGATGCAGTCGTATTTCGTAATGAAGCTGCTAAATGAAACCAACCATTACAAAAACCATTCATCACCATCGCAAAACTATATTAACTATTCAGTAAAGCGACAATGGTTTATATGAAAACCAAATTAATAATTAGAATTGTCATTGCTTTGTAGAAATTATTACACACAGTAGTATTACATATCAAATACTCACCAACTGGAGTCCCATTGATTTGATGTAACGTTCCAGTCCATTTGTTCGCATTTGTAGCACGCCTCGCAGCTTTTGGATCGAGATCAGAGGTAGACCTTCCAGAGTAATACGCTGGACTGGCTGAAATCAAAAAGAGAAATTCATTAAGAATTAACAAATTAACATCGACACAATTCAATCATTTCCAAATGAAACTACAAAACATGTGCAATGATTAGATCTTCATGAGAATCTTCTCCTTCCTTCTCAGAAATACGATGTATCTATACCACAACACAAATATTTCCTAAACATCATACCATCGAACAAGACGGGGCCAAACATCATCAATATTCAAATAATTTGATCTTATCGAAATGAGCTAAATTGAAAGTAAATATCCAGCTAAATTTAGAATAGTAATACAAAAACAAATGAAACTAGTGCATACCCTTGTGCAGTGCATATGAACTTCGACGTGACATGGGTAATGAATCTTTTTCAGAAACGATCGATTGTGATGATGATGACTGCGAAACAAAACCCGATAGTTGACGTTGCCTCGACGGATCCAACGACTGCAACATATCGCATTTATTGCAACAATAACGACGATAACAGATAGGTTTAAGGAAAGACTTTGGAAAGCTCGTTACCTAAGAAAACTGGTCAAAATGATAGTAGTTTACAAGACTACAATACTAGAGTTTCATAGCAAAATAGATGAATGAAAAAACCAAAGAACGAACATTTGGATAAACTAGTGAAAACCTACTCGATATAATATATCAGCCTGTTGCTTATAGTTCTGATCAAGCCTTACAAACATGTCACGTCCTGTGCTCCTCGTTTCGGGATCTGCGTCGTTGAGTGCTACCTAAAAACAATATGCTACATGAAGCGCTTATCCACATTCACAGTTTAACATACACATCGTTATGAATGAAATCGCAGACAAAAAAGTGAAATCAAATTCCATCAGAACAGATCTGGTAAACATCTAATCAGATTACAGTCGTTTTTTGCAAATTACATCTCTGGTAATATCGATAGGACATCTTTCGGTAAAACATACTTCTTACGGTATTTGTCCTCCTTCATTAATTCATAAGTGCATTTGAAATTTCATCCTTTTGCTATAAGTCTATTTTAGAATTTTAAAGATAGAATATTTTAAGGAGCACGAACTTTAACGCAATCCATAAAAGTTGGCATATTCTTCTCAACAATGCGTCCTTCCCATATCGTTAACGCCATCAAAATGAGACATGCTGATGATCTAAATGTGAGTAACTGTAACGAACATTACACAATCGATCTATGAACTAAACATTTTAACATTTATATTTAGGCAATGACGGTCAATTATGAAATGATCCGAATGATCTGCACACAACGATTCACCAATTTTGCACTGAACTAACNCATATCCCCGTCTATGTAATCTCCATTTTTAACTCATACAATACTTTATGAACTACATCTGTAAGCCTAATACATATATATCAACGTTCACATCAATAATACTAAATTACAGAAACATGCCAAATCAACACTGAAACAACAGAGAAACATTTGCTGCACATTCCACCATTACCGAATGTCGTACCAACAATATGATAGTCGAGAATGATATAAAGCAGAACAATACAGAAAGCAAGAAACAGAACATGAAATTAACCGTCTGATTTCACGAGATTTATGAGAAATCGCTGTTTGCAAATGAAATAACACTTTCTCGTTCCGAACATACTTCACCGCATATTGCAGTGCTAAAAGACCACTTGTCGCCATTATCTGGAAATTGTGACGGAATATTTGAGAAAACATCATAAAACTTCCCGTTGAAAACACCGATAAGATGATGCAAATTTCGAAAAGAACTGATTGTTCTTGAACCAAGACACGAACCTTGGCACTGTTCTGGAGCAGATTTATAAGTGTTGGCATTGCGCTTGAAACAATACTTGTAATTGAATCCTCCAATTTCTCGCAATAGAACCTGAAAATTCGAATGAATTTAACACCACCTCACAATCACACTGATACTTTACGTTGAAGTAATTCACAAATGACCTCTTTAGAATCTAATAATTCATGCTCATCTGACAGCGTTCCTTTTCCAGATATTCTACTGTATAAACCAGTCATAAAAATAAGTTTCGGTAAGTTTTCATCGATATCGTATTACCATTCGAAAGTCCCACCATATGGACAAATCTTCATTCGTTTCATTTCAAAAAACTTACGCAAATGTGACACATGCTTCCCGACATACTTGCGAACGTAAGTCCTTCAACGAGACCACAAACGCATTTTCCAGTTGCCGTAAATCTTCGCTGAGATCTGATGCACTCACATTTCCGCTCACCAAAAAAGCACGCAAAGTTTTGAGCTGAAAAAAAATTTCAACGAAATCAATCAAGAAACAAGACAGCACATATCCAAGGCAGCTATCTGCACATGGAGAGCAATCCAAATTTTCATTAATAATCCAAAGTCACCAAAATGATTCATAATAGTGTAATTAACTGCTGATGAACGCAACTATCAAATGTACATCCTGACAGAACAACACTTGAATCCCTGATCGAACTCATATCGTTATTATGAAAGCTCGACTCATCCAATTAAAAACATTATCTTTCAAACCCTCTACTGATACGAAAACAAAACTGAAGATTTCAATGAACTTCACATTCTATATATGTTGTTCTATTCTCAACAAATCCTCAATCAAGCTGTTTAATCAAAATCTCATTTTCCGAGTGGAAAGTTTTTGCAGATAAAAGAAGTATTCCAAACGAAAGGTTGAATGAACAAACCGCCGCAACCCGTCTGTCCCAATCATTATTGGTATTCTCCAGGGTGTTGCATGCTGATGCTATCTTTTCTTTCAATTCACGTGCCGAAAATATCTGAAAATCGATAAATAATTAACAACGATGCGCTATTATTGAGCCAAATGAAAAACACCAGACCACTGTTTCAGAAACAAAAATAGATTAACTAAAGAATCTAAATTTCTATTATTTAGATTTTATTCCTCTTTTTTTTTGTATAACAAAAAAGAATATTCGCGAATTTTTGTAAACGGGAGAAAATGATAACAGTGAGCATTCAAGAGAATTAATAAAGAAAGCGAAGACATCAATAATAACAAAGATGAACATGTGGAATGATTTTGAACATTCAGATAAAGGTAATGATTGATGTAAACAATAATATAATACTCAGTGTTGACCATGTTGAAATGTAGCTCAAAAAATAAAAACTTGCATCACATCGCGGAACTTCGGTAAACGCCTGTCGAAATGCTTCGTCAGATATACCACCGGCTTTGCCTTAAAAAATGAATCAATAAATTTCATCAAAAAATGTTTCAGTGATCGACCTGAATATATCATTGGATCACAAAATAGATGCTTCACCTTTCTGAGGGCGATTCGGTGTTTCAATTACGTGACTGTGTTACAAAAAGGTGTTCGACTGAAGCTCAATATACTAACAAACGAAGGATAGTTAAATTGTGAAATCTTAGACTGCCACGAAGGCAATGACAAATTTGAACAGTCAATTTTACAATAATTCACCTCAAAATTAACATTTCTATTCGAATGAATCACCATCCTAGTTAACACTACTTTGTCAACAGTGCGGTGGAAAGTTTAGTCTTAAACCCAAGCACCGTTCAGGTTCGGGTTTTTTTCGGCAACACTGTGATCTAATTCGAACGCTCCATGTAAAACAATCGAAAATCAAGCCTTCCTTTTTGCTTTTTACATCTGCTCAAAAGACGAATATTCCATAAGTTCAACAACCACAACAAAGAGGAATTCGTATGACCCAAGACGGTCCCAGGTCAATAAGGAAGAAAACTTGAAAGGTAGAGAAAACGTTGCTTAAGTTGGTGCATCATTATATCTGGTATTGCTTTCATGCCAGCCTTATAAAATAAATGATAAATTACCTGAATTTTTCGATGCCGGCCTCGTCAAGGGCCTTTTATTGGCTGGCACACTACTTGCTCTAGCAAATACAGGTGTCGGCAGGGAATTTTCAACACCGCCTAGAACCAGTCTCCTAGACTGCTGCATTGTTCGAGCGGCTGAAAATGAAACATTTCATCGAATTTCCACTAAAAATGGTGATACTTTACAATGACGGGATCCAAGTGAAATTTCGACCAGTCGGATTCCGATCGAGTTGTCATTTCGTCGTTCCGACAGTTGGAATTCCGACTGGCCATCGGAACAGTTCGGTCGAAATCTGACCGAACTGGCATTTCGTAATTCCGACAGTCGCCTTAAGAACTGTCAAATATCTGCTGCATGATTCCATCCAGCCAGTATAATCATCGAATGCCTCAATAATTAAGTAACAGTGCTCAAGAGACCTGCTCGTCCTCTTGTTAGTAAAATTCTAGGCATATTCGTCATTTTCTAATCTGCTTCCGTCATACTTTTCAGTTTCAAAATTGTTGAGAAGAAATGATTACTGGAAACAGAAGCACACATTTTCAGTTCATGAGAACGATACTTTTCAGGAGGTACCTTAGTCGAGTTATAATTTTTGTTCCTCATTCAATCTTGCAATCATCCTTTCTCACCCAATTCTCTCAACTCCCGATTAAATCATGGACGCGAATACCAATTTCATTTTAGAAACTGACTGTGTGTAAATTGAGATAAAGAGCAGACGAACTGCACAAATAAAATAAAACGTAACGAGATGATCAGTGATAAATTTCTTTGCACATGAGGAGCGGAATGACGTTATGCATCAATGAAAACGGGTCAATCATTAACGTAGGCGAACAAGGGTGAATTTATAAATGAACATTATTCGTATTTTTTCTGAGGTGAATATGAAGCTATTGCAAAATTAATTACTTGAATAATTCATAAAGAAACCAAAACCAATCATCAGTTTCTTTATGAACACACCCATAACAGAAAAAGCGATAAACTTGTAAACATGATAATATTGATTGAATGACACTGAAAGGACAACGTTACCGAAATACTACACATATCATCCTTTTCAATGGCCTCATCAAAAATACTCTCTGTGAATGCGGCGCATAAATTAGATGATTTAATTCTATGGTTCAGGAAAATGAAGTTGATTCGCCGTTCAGGATTGTGACAATCATATCCACAAATAACGAAAATCCAAAAGATGGCTATAAAACTTAGAAACGCACATTTGCAACAAGCATAAACAAGTTAAGAATAGGATTCCTTGAAGAAATGGGAGAGCTGAATGATGAAATATTATAGAAAAATAACAATAACTTGCTCAGATCTACAAATGTTTCGAGCAGTTTTCTGACACGAGCAAATGAACAATCAAATAAACTACACTTCATCACCAAATGATGCACAATCCACAACGAATACTTCTACTGTCTGAAATAACCCGGACTGTACATTGCAAAAACTGCATGCAATATTTCATATGAATTATTTGTTATCATTTCATACAAAGTAATTGCAATAACAGGTTACATTCATTCATTCTTTCACGTAATTCAGATGATTTGAAAAAATTCAACAGAAATGAAAGAGTTGCAGAATGAAAAGTTTGCGCTCTATGTATGATAACGAAAACGATACTTGAATATGGTTAGATAATTATCCTGCTTATTTAATACACATACATGGAACTGCACAAAGATGAGATCATTGAAATGTGAAGGATTGAGGAACGTAAGACGCAATAACAACAATATTATGACGAATGCGGTAATGACGATGATGATTAGTTCGATAATTCGATGAGATAAAAAGCAATGGAATAAATTCGGTGTGTTGCAGCATGGTCAGTGGTGGCGTGTTATCGCAAACTGAGTGGTGGATCAATGAGAAATGCTGCATACATGTAAGTAAGTGTACATAAATGTAGAATAATGCAAAAAGAACGTCAACAAATATCGATTCATTTTACTTTTATCAGCAATAATAATGAATCTTGCAGTTTCCTTATTGCAGGTTTGCTTTTGCAATTCCATAAACAGCACCAGCATTTAATCCACTCTTCATAAAAATATTATCACAAAAAGCATTTGTGAGCCAGACATGAACAAGGCTTAGCTATACTATTCGCAATGAAACTCTGCAAAACGCTCGTAAGTAATTCGACACGCGACTGTTCTCTCACAAGGAAGGATTCGGAGAAAAATTATCGTAATTTTTGTTATCTTTGTATTCTAAACTAGTGTTCGTCGGGGAGCAATTTTTTTGCACGGGGGGAGGGTCCCCGCGGGGAGTAAATTGGACGGGGGGAGGGTCCCCGCGAAAAAGTCGGGGAGCAAATTGCGCGGGGGGAGCGCTTCCCGCGTTCCTCGCCGGGGACCCCGTTCCCCGACGAACACTATTCTAAACTCTTTCGAAGCATCGCATTCAGGGAATTTTTTGAATCCGGGAAGATTAACATGCTAATTGATAGGCAGGCAGTCTTGCATACAATTTAAAATACGGCTCTTCTGTTCAATATAAAATTGACTACGGACTGAGTTGGAATATACCCAGTTTTTCAAGCACTTAATAAATTAGAATATTAGATATTATCGGCGAATTTCTCGTAGGAAATGAATTTCGAACAGGTCATTATGGTGGCCAATGGCTACTGAAACTCGGTGATCGTCAAATTTCGATCGAAACTGAAAGCACCTGCTCGATCCTTTGGCGCAGAAAACTAAATTTTAGTGGCCAGCGAAAAAATTTTTTTCGGTGCCCAAGTCTAGTTACAATTTTTCTTTGTTTGCGTATAACAGCATATAAGTTGACATAATTGTACAGAATAAATTCATGCCTCCGCTGAGACTAAAGAGAGAATACCCAGCATTCATGAGAGTGTTATCAAACTGACTGCAAAAATATAGGATGAAAGTGATAAACCCAGCACTGCATCACATTACCAATGGCATGCCAATTTCCTAGACAAAGAAATACGTCTTTATAAAGTATCTCATTTTGAAATCATTATCTTAATCGCATGCATCTTTTTACATCTTTCAAAATTTCACGAATTTTGCCGTTTCGAATTGCTTTTAGTTTCTTCATTTATTCAGGGATATACCTGTGGTGAATCAAATTATTCTTCAAGCATTTTTAACATGGTAATCAATCGAAATCAGTGATTTCTAAAAATTATTTGTGCAGTTACATACCAAAGGTGATGATTTTTAAGCATTTGCAACAAAAATCAATGGCACATCTCTCCATAAAAGCTCCAAAACGATGGCGGTGAATGAAAATTAGTAGCATACGTGATGACGCACGCAGCGAGCGATATTTTTAAAGGCTGCATCTAAGGAAGAAGGAGAATTGAACGGAAATATGGCATTAAGCAAAAATTCAAGTTCAAAGTGACAAAAAATTAAAATGACTAAAATTTGTAATTTTTAGTTGCTGCAAATTACAAATTATAAACAGAAAGTCTTCGTGAAAGCTTTAAAAAACAGTTTCACGAATGACCAAGAGCAATGAGAAGTGATCGTATCCGAGAACGGCGATGTGTGCAAAGCGAGCGAACTGTGTAACGAAATATTCAAGTAAGAAATAACCCCTAAGACATGTTATCATTCACTTTCGTGGTTGGCTTAGAATACATCCATACAAACTTTTAGTGCAATCAACAGGTGTCTTCTTTACTTTAAATAGTTATTTCCTAGCAAATGCTCATCACTTTCGCGTAAGCGTGCGTCACAATATAAATGAATGGATAATTTCACAAAACAATAAGAATTATCGCATAAATTATGAAATATGTAATAAAACAATCAGCTAATATCGTGCGTGCACAGATTTACAATAGGAATTTGATTTACAACAGATTTACAATAGTCAGTTTGATTTAAACATCTACCAATAAAACCATTACTAAATACAACAACGACTGACCGAAACCAGTTTACACATGGACAAATGATCCATATAAAATTTTTCGAACATTTTTTGGTAATTTTCGAGCAACACTGGTGGCATCACACCGTCGCACAACAAGACTTCAACTGCATACAGTGAACATTTATGTTTCTATTTCATGCCGTAATGAAGCACTTAACAACTCTCATTAAAAGCACAGATCAATGAATGCAACAGAACAGTGGAAAAGTTGCTCTGTAAAAAACTTCGTCGATTTTGCGTCAAAAAATTGATAATAGCAACGGCCATAGAATAAATACATGTAAAACGAGAATTCTTAAGAGAAGAGTGCTTTACATATCATATTCCCTTGATAATTTTCTTCAGTGCGTAAAATTTGCGAATTCAACATAAAGATGCCATTTTGACGATATTCAAATGCTATCGGCAATTTTTTTTCAAATTTATTGCAAACAGCGCTTACTTATTAGAGATATCAAAGTTGTAATATTTAGTGCAGACAGTGTCGACTGTTGACGATGTGTAGAAAAGTAGCGAAATTTTTACTTCTTCAACGCTCTAATTATGAATTATTTCGTCAGCTTTGTAGCAAATAACGAGTTTTACAGACTGGAATTTAGAGTTGAGAATTGATCACTGAACGAAGCGCAATGAAGGGATTAGAAAGCAATAAAATCATCGCATCTTATTCGAACTATCGTAATGAGAAGAATGCAGGAATAGAATGCAAGTTTGTATTTGCCTGAATATGAATATCACTGAAATGCTGATCTATTATTCAGCACATTTAACATTTCCATAGTTATTAATCAAACAAACCCTTGCAAATGCTAAATCAGTTAGAGTGAATACATCATTTGGGAGGCATAATGCTAAACATACCCGTCTGAGGCGTTTCCGGCCTTTTGAACATTGTCCCGGTTGACTTTTCTGCACACTGCTGAACTTTTTGCTCACCTTCAACGCTGCAATGCTCAAATTCACAGTTTTAAAGGATGTCTCAGAAGATGTCAACTGATCATCGCGAAGTGATAAGTCTACAACAGCTGGCTACAGCTACGTAATGAACACCTCAAACCTAACAAGGATAGGATGACGTGGATGAGATATCCTATAAAGATGAACACTTGTAGCGTTTAGGTGGGCTCAAACATAGAATTTTTTACTTAATGCTTTACAGCACCCATGTACTCACGTGGAACCAAAGACAACTCAAGAAATGGATTTAATTGGAATTATCAGTGAGGGTTCTTATGCATTAGGTCACGTAAGCAAAATACAACCATACCCTGAAGTGACACTATCGACAAGTACTTAGTGATCATATGAATCGAATTCTTGTTAGAGATGGTGCGATTTTGGATAGAAATCCACAAGATTAAGCATCACTGAAACCGAGCACACGTAGAAAAACCATGTTTACTTTTTGATCAAGTAAGCAATTTTTCCTTCACCTCTAGCGGATCACCAGAAAATAATTTAAGCGTAGCTAACACTGCCACAGTAATGCCGACAGTGGATACCATCTGCATTTATCTCCTATGGCATCCTTAACCGTAGCTTTCGACATACTAAACTTTCTTCTTTGTCGAAACAAAAAACTCGGTCTTTCAATTTAAAACTCGTGTAGATAGGGGTATGATTACCTAATGAGGTTGATGATGACTGACTCAATATCATTCACAAATATCTATCAGGAATTTGCTTCGTCAACTACCGATCTATACAAATCTATTCTTTATTATGCTACTCAGTTGCTATGTTGATTTTTGCCCATCCTTTAATTTCAACTTCAATCTATCTCAAAGTATTGCACATCACAATAAATACTGTAATAAACCACCTCTCACGGAAGAATTCACTCAAATAGTTTTAAAAAATGAATCAACTAAATGAATGAATTAGTCAATTAATTAGAAATCATCCATTTGGATTTATTCAAGATATTGCTGTTCATCCAAGAAACGCATTAGGAATGTGCCGCGCTGGCACATCTCCAATATTCAAAGTCTTTGCAGCAAGAAAATTTCATTATCTCCCTATCGTCGGTTCATTTACAGCACAATTTGTCCGTGGATGACAACTTCCAGAGGTGTGTTCTTGTGGAACGCTACTCGAACGTCCACTTACTATTAGTCTAAGCACACGAATGCTGTCGAAACTAATCCCTTTGTTGAATATTTCTTGAATTTAGATATTCTTGTGTGTTTATCTATTTAGATATGTGTTTATCTCTTTGAGATCAAACTTTTGTCAAAGATCTTGGACCGACGCGGAATCGAACTCACGCCCTCTGAACAGAACGGATCCTCAAAGCCCAGCGTTACACCAGTACACTATCGGCCCTTTGCACATTGTTTCTTTATTTGATTTAAGTACTATCTCTTTTAGTACTATCATCATTGTATGCTAGCTTTTCGCGCTAGTCGCGACAAATGTTCGTTATTGGATGTCGGTTTCGAGAATCAGAGACAGAATTGGTGATTCAGGTGAACAATAAGTATATCGTTATTGGAACAGTGATTTCATCATACGACTGATCACGACACAGTGACGGCATCAGGACGATATTTCAATCCAGCCCGAATCCAACCGATTCGATTTTTCAACATTCCAACGCACAGAAACCTGACCGAGTTAGGAATTTTTCGGTTGACGTCCGACCGAATTCACATTTTCAGTCTCCGATATTTGAGATTCCGACATTCGGCCGAAAGCCGGATGCCATCACTATCATAGTTGTGTTTTGCATGCCCCTGCTCCAAACATTGTATTGAGGAACTACTTCAGAAAACAGACCGCAGATGAGATGTAATCATTTTAGCCCGATATCAAGTGCGAAATGAATACATGTCATTTGTGAAGTGATTGATGAGATCGCAATGGTATACGGTTGATTCCATATGAAGGGATATCAAATCAAACATATACCATTGCGGAGATTGGATTACCAACAAGACAGACCGGAAAAGAACAGACTGGTTGGAAATACGAAGCTGATGCGAAATATCACAGTGGAATGATGCGAAACGTCACATTATATTGGAATGCGATCAGTCGAAAAAAAATTGTTCATAAAAGTAATGTGGAAACTATCGAGCAATAAACTCACAGTGGCAATAAATGATTGTAAGTGAAAACGATTCGCTGTCACCGCATTCAAATAATCAGCAACTGGAATCAGCGCGACAAACGAAATACAAAAACTGATGATGAACTGTTGATGTGCATGAGTGCGTGCCGCATATAGCGTTGGATGAGTTAAATGCATATGACCATCACAATAATATCGCATACGAAAGGAAATCCCGATTATAATGAACAGTCTGAATCAGTCAATCCCATCATCATACATGCATTAAATTTCTTGCAAACGATCACAAATTGGATGCAGCAAAAAGAGAACCTATACCAGATTGGAAACAGTTGATGGGAATCCGGTGATGGTAACAAGTCGATTGGCTCTCTGCGCTGATCAATAAACTGGTAACTGGTGGATCGGCTCAGAGAACCAATTCCGCCGAAAATACATTTAAAACTAGAAACTCAGAAAGAATTAGGATTATTGAAATATACAAGCATACTTAATCGACGGCAGTCAATACAGAATAGATGCTATATGTATTTAAGCGTATACTATCGCATACGAATATTTCAATTTGAGTATTTAAGCATACGAATATTTCAATTTGCGATGGTAACGCGATAGTTACGTCACTGCATGACTTCTGCTGATTTATGAGGATAAAATTGCATTTTTGAAAGCACTCATGATATTAAGAATGCCTACGATCATTTGTGGTAAAACATGGAGACTGGAAGGTTTTGCTGTGAACTAGATCACATGAAAGAATAAGTATAGGATTACTGAAGTCGTGACGCATGATATAATTGTTTGATTTCTATCAACAAGTGCTATTATTCACGAAAATTCAACTATATTTCCGTTTTAAACAACAATATCCAATCCGTCCCTATGCAAAGTCCACTCAAGCATATTCCATCCAAGACCGCTTCTGCAAGAACTGAATGGATCGAAATGAAAAACATGAAATTTGCTTCGAAAGATTCGTTGGTTTCCTAATCCGATAGCATTATCTGATGAGAAATGAAATGAAACGTGAATTATCATCGTCAGTGCAGAATCCGTGAAGAGGGTATATTTCAGGAATAATGACAACAATTTTTTAATGAACAAACTCGTAGGGATTTGTGCTTATAGAAACTACAATAGAAATGGATAAATATGAAAACACGAATCAAAGTTTATTACAAAGACGAATCGATGAACGTTGCATACCAACAACTATGCGTGTTGTGGATGTGCAACGTTGATCGATGAAAAAAATTATTTCGAATTGTGGCGTTCAACATTAAGTTGTTCATTTTAAAATAACAATTAGACATGCTCTCATTTCGACAATCGCAAACGAATACGAATATGCAGTAAACAGAAAGACTAACGTGTTGGCGTAAATTGCGGTTTTTGTGGGATCAGAGGTCTTCGGAGAGGTCTTGAAATTCGTTGCGATGTTGACGGTGTTGACGGTGCGATACCACCGCATTGCTGCGCCTCTTTATAACGGGCCATTAACATTTGAAATCTATCAAAGTATTTTGAGTCAATTCATTTTCATTATCAATCGTATCAGTTGTTCATTTTCGGCGCAAAAACCATCAAAATGATGGAACATTAGTGCGGCAGTGTGAAAGTTCGGTGATGAGAGTGGGAAAGGGTTGTAAAAAAATTTTAACCATATGAAAATCCGCATCAAAACCGAAATTTAAGTACGATTCGAATCGAACACAGTCTAAGTAACACTAATAGAAAGCAAAATACATTGAGTGTTACAAAACTAAAAACAAACTTTGCTTCTGGAATAAGTTGTCGTTTCCGTATGCTAGATGGTAACGGTTCACCAATCTGACAAAAAATATTAACAAGGGCATTTGTTGCTGTCTCACGCACGTCACTGTTCGCATCAGCCATCAGTTTGCAAAGTGTTGGAATTATTCGATTTATTTGCACGTCCACTTCAAATTTACTGAAAATTCGACAAACTTTAGATCGCACACAATTGGAACAAGGTGTTCAGTTTGAGAGTAATCCTTGATGTGGTTTCAGTCAATTCGCAAGCGTTCAGTATGGCCTAAACTACTTAACGGAAGCACTAGTTTCACACTAAATCGATAACATAATTGAGTGGAAACAACAACAAAAAATCGTAAAATCAATGATGATGAACATGAATAATTAATGCAGACAAAACATGTCACAATTATGATTTTGAGCAGCAGATGTACAGATAGAATGAAAGGGATGGCATTCGATGTTTTAATTAACTAATGTCGAGCAGTTTGCAAACAGATCTTTAATTATGAGCTCCTTAATGGAGTGAGGAATATGTGAGAGGCGAGATGAGGGCAAATGTGGTCAAGGGTTGTGAGCAAGGAGATATGAACAGTGACGAGTGGATAATAAGTATACAGATCGAATGGATACAAATATATTTGAGGAAGAGGTTTGAGTATGAACAGGCAGATAAATATATACAAACAATGTATGAGACATTGAAATTTTGTTTGGTGTGGAATTGCACATTAAAAACGTTAGATTTACACATTGAACAACGTTAGCTGAAAATGCTTCCCATTAGCTAACCACAACTTGAACGCCATCATAAATATTTTAACATAAAGTGAGAGAGACACATAAATGACGCAAATTATATTTACATAAGCAACACAGCAGCACCACCATGATTGTGTATTTTGTTAACAAAACATTTAAATATAATAAAACTATTTTAGATGTTTTTGTTTTCTTATAGTGATTCACAACAAAATGGATGAGACGGATGATTTTTTCCAACGTAATGAATGAATTTGGTACAACACGCACGAGACGTGAAAAATTCCACTTAAAACTCACTGCTGCTCAAGAATATTGCGGATCACTTGCATAACACCAATACGCACCAACCACTGGCGATGTACAAGTCCTGGTGCGACCCTTTCGATCACTGTCTAAAAGTTGAGACTATTGTCATATCATCGTCTCATTTGAAACGCATCAGCAAACAACTCAAAAATTCATTCACGTGCAATTATGAGGTATGAATGAAAATAGAAAAAACATCAACCGTAGCATTATTAACAGCAAGTGCAGAAAGAGAATACAGTAACTTGTATCATCCTTCAACAAAAACCGATTATACTCAATCGAATTTTATGGTTATAGTAAAATACTGATAGACATTTTATGGCAAATAAATTTTCGCATTCAAAAGTTGAAACATTTCAACCGAAGGTAATTGCTTGTTAATAAATTGCTTGAATAGATTATCAGATCGCAGGGTGATGAAAACAATTATAGTATTTCAAAAATAACATCAAATCTATGAAAGAATCGCTCAGATTGATTACGACCGGTTATGTAAATGACAAAATTAATTGAAATTACGTTAACGAGATGGGTGAGACTTTCACTGTTGATAGAGGGAAATAAATCAAATTCCATGAGAAAATTCAGACGCTCGAACGTTTTATGTCATTAAACTTTACATTCGATTTCGCTCATTCATTCATTTCAAGATAAATATTTTTTTGTAATACAGCCAATGAAATGCTGCTGTTCATCGAAATTTTACGAAAATTTTGGAGGATGAAAGTAAAAAATTCTGATGATAAATTATTTTCCAAAAGCGAAATCAGGAAAATATTAATGACGAAAAAGAATGAAACGGTCATGGTGACGAGAGAGAACTCAGAACGGAAAACAATTTTACTAGGGCGGTACAAAGTGGTTTTATTACTATGAAGACATTAATCAAAACAGCGAAATTTCAATGAATTTTTGCCGTATGAATAATAAAAGTTGCTCAGAGAGTTTTTTCAGACGATTCTTAGAAGGGATTGTGATCGAATTCTGCAAATTTTCTGGTATGCACTGAAGGGTGCGATGAATGGAACGAACTGTTAACAATAAGTGGAAATAATGAAGCTGGATGAGCGTAGAAGTGCCGTGCCGACTCATCCGACGTTACGATGCTGAGTAAAATAATCGAACGTCAACCTCAGACATCTGAGGCAATGAAAATTTAAACGATAGCGAAGAAGATATTCTCATAATAAACCTGACTGGAATTGACATACACCAAAACATTTACAACTGCAGTGCTCTTTTTTGTTCACAGTGGACGATTTCAGTAAAGCGGTGAAAAATTTGTTGGAAACTGCGAGGGACATGCTGTCGTTCAGTTTGTTTTCAGGACATTGGCGATTGAATAGGGGGAGCAATAACAACTTGTGCTCAGTACCTACAGTTTTCAGAGGATATACATAAGAGATCAAACACAAACTCGATAGAAAATGCTCAAAAGTACCATCAAAATCTAAATTTCCACCAGCATAAACCACCTTGAATTTTGCACCAAAGCTCGCTCGCTTGCACTATCATTAAGAAATATAAGATATTTTTCTGTAAGAAATGTGAGATGCTTTTTTTTACAACGAGCGATGAACCGTGACATTAAAATACCGAATTATTACGCCATAAACTTATAACTTTGATGCCAGTGGTTATTGCTAGTGAACTGAACTAAAAACATTTACTCGTATTTCAAAACAACGATGAAAAATATTGAAATTATTTTTCATTCAGACTTTCGCCTGTGGTCATTCGTATGAACCGTTAAAATTAGTTTCGGTGAATCAAAAGGATCTCTTAATTCATAATAGCAAAAACACTTTCTATGGCGGTTCCATCAAACGATTAATTGATCAACTTGCTTGAAGTTATTATTTTCGAGTAGGAAGCTTGAAATTGTTGATGAGTTGATAATTAAGTTGAATATTAGATGAGTACTTATTAGGTTGAGTATTGGTTGAACAATAATGGGGTTGAATACTGGATGAATAATGAAGAAAGAGTAAGTTAAAAAAANAAAAAAACGGCATAACATTCATTTTGCATCGGTTCGGATGAACGAACAAAAGTAAGGACCCTCACCTTTGTGCGCACCATTTAATCTCAACGAAATCGTGCACAAATTTTCTTCAGAAATAAACTTTCTAGAATGCTCAAGCAAGAACGAAGGCGAAGTTCAAGTAAACATGAAGTGACACAAAAAACGGATGGAACGACTTGAAGCAGTTGAAGGTTGAACGTAGATTATAAATGTGTAATTCTTCTGCATCAAAACATAATTTTTAAGATGATTTCTCCTCCATCAAAAGTGTTGCTAAAATTATGTTTCGCAGGATATATTGTGGAAATAACGTACGAAACCACGTTGTATTATACCCCTAATTTTGAGGAATTCATCAAAATGGTAAACGGGATTCAAAGAAACATTTAAATTATCACGTTTATCCATGAACACTAGAGTATGATATTGATAAGCATCACTTCACAGAAATGTTGATAGCATTAGTAAAAAAATCACGAACCTGAGGGCTGCAATACGGCGTATTAGCAATGGTTGTGATGAGCTGAATAGTGGCTTCACGCACACTCTGTTTCGAATCACCGAGTCGCTCAACAAGCGCTGAGATTCGTTCGATTAAATACGGCGATATCACATCACCGGATATCTCAATTCCAACGTCGATTATTTCTAGAGCCAACAGTGTCACCTTCAAACGAAAATTCCATTCATTATCGATACATCACGCACAGCACGCAATCATTTTGACAGCATTATCGACTATATTATCAAAAAATAATTATGTGCTTGACTGTCACATCATTCACCATTATGAAGCTTTTTATATTCATAATGAATCAACTCCGTTGGACGGTATCGCTCTGAAGCCATTAGGATAAAATAGCGTCGTTATGAATGGAAGGAATGATCCATACAAATATTACAAAGTTGAATCAGCTGCAAAACTATAACAATAAAAGGAACTAACCTTAAAGTTGGATGCACATAACCATTGCACAATAAGATCACAGAAATCGTTGAGCACTGTTGAATCGGACGGTAGTTTTGACGTTTGTAATTCCGATAAAATTTGTTGGCCCAATTCAAGTCGCTGTCTCGGATCTGAACTATTTTTATCAATCAACTCTCCCAACCAACTCATATCGACCGATGATTATCCGCCTGTTTCCCTTTGAGCTTTTGTGATTCTACACGTACACACACGTTGAAGCCAATGCCCGCTTCTTCCCGTTTTCTGAAATGATAATTCTAATTGGTTGTGGTCCTATATATATATTAATTTATGATAACGACATAGTATTTCATTACATGATAACAATCGCGATTACGCACAGCAAATGATTCCGAAAATTTTATTCCACAAAGTTGACAATACAAAATGCAACTATCCATTTACAGGACGATCGAAACGCACTCAAAATAATGATCATCAATAAATCACGTATGCTTAGGAATGCATTCCGTGAGCGGCGCTGTCAAAACAGTCGAGGCAATAATCGATCAATGGGAACATAACAACTAACATATTCGGACATATTGCGATAATCGTGCTCAATTGAAAATAATCATCAATTTTCGGCTCCATTCAATGATAGACTAAATGACAGCATAAAAAATTAAATTCGTTTATTCAGCAGACTGGCTGAAAGCGCAGAGATATTGCTTATGATACGATGACTAACGGTATTTCGATGGCGCACTTCTTCTATTAAGTGATGTGACTTATGTGAAAACGAAAACGTTTAACGACATACTCATAAGAAGCAAAGTATCAACTAGTTGGATATCTGTTTTGTAGACGTCAATGAACGACGTTCAAGAAATATCCTAACGATCCAAGTACCGTCAAATTTACTGTTCAATNAAAAAAAACATTCCATCGAATAAATTGAATTCTTCAATTGTAGTACAGCCAAATTTCGTTGGTTTTACGTAAAGCAAAAGTGGGAAAACAAAATAATGAATAAAAGCATTCGGAAGGACGCTTATTCACTGAACAATAGTAACAAAAACGTTCATTCGACAGCTCTTATTTCAAGCACATTCCGACAACTTTTAGCGATGTTACGAATGGAATTATTCCGAGACCGAGGTCTCTCCAGATAATCAAGCTCGTCAAAAAGTGTGACAACAACTCCTTGTATAGTGACCGCTCCTAAACGTATACCCTAAAATGCCACCTCATAAATATTTTATGCTGATCTCTTCCGAATTACTCTCGCACTCGTTGACTGTTATCAACACTATTCATTTTGTAATACTCGTTATGAATAATCATTAAGACAAGACGATCAGGTTCGTTTTGAATGAGTTCGGATAATGTTTTGGTATAAGCAAACAAATTAGTTGTGTTGTGAAATGCGTAAGTAAACATTAACGGCTGTGTAATTTTATCAAAAGCGAACGTGAAAAGGAAACGCAAAAATGTTCAAATTATTGACACATTGGTTAAAAAAATTCTATTTTCCNGGGACCAGCCACATGCGAAAAACGAAATTTTGCGAATAGAGGTTTGAAATGATGATATAGGATAGATAAATAATTTAAAAAATTTAAGGTTATAATTATTGGATGAATTGAGGGAAACGGTATGACGATAAGGAGATGAGAATAAAATTGTTCAAATTTGTAATGTTGTAATGTTCAAAATCGTGAGAAACAATTTTCGCCAGAAGATATGCAAATGGAATGGAAATTTGGGAGACGTTTGATCCATCGACACAAGATTGAAATTGATGCAAATTGCCGTTAAAGAAAGAAGAAAATAACAAATGGCTGTTTTTTGCAAACGAAATGAAAAGAAAATGAATAAGTAATCATGGTTGCAATGAATGGGAAAAGAAGGCTTCAAAAATGATCGATTCTGATACAGTTCTCATTGTATCGTGACATTTATTCAAATCTTCCTATAATTATCGTCGTATTTGGAGCAATAACAATTACATTCGCACAAAACATCGTTACAGGTTATATTCAGATGAATCAATATCAACTATTTTTGAGAGAGACTCAAATTATGATGAAAAGTTGATCGCAGTCATTAAAATTGGTTGCGTTTCTTAAAAATTCCTACAAATTCACGCAATCAGCTACAAATACGAGTCCATATCTCAATCGAGAAATCGTGATCATTTGTGCATTCGATTGATTAAAATTCGCTATCTGAACGAATGTTGAGGCTGAATAATGTGAACATTGATTCGATCGCTCAGTAAAACTTGTTCGAGAGTGGAAGCATACAGGAATAAATTCGGACTGAACGAAAGCAAGAAAGAGCGCTGTCATTAATTTGTTTTGAATCAAACAAACAGCATCATCACTTTTTTGTAACAGATCATTTTTATTCTTTGTCTCGTTCCAGCCAACACACTGAATTGAGCAATGTAGCCTAATGAAAACTGTTTGATGAATCGGAAGAGAAAATAAGTTTCGGAGAAATGAACTAGTGAAGGAGAACAAATTAGAGGAGAATAATTTTGTGAGTACAAATCATTCGCAATATCATTATCAGATTATGTGATACTTTATTATGCGATACTGATTTATGTTATCCATCATATTACACCACAACAACAATTGTTCATCGATGAGATAAACGACAAATAACGCAGTTTCGACTCTTCAAAACATCAGCCTAATATTGCAACTTGACGACATTTCTGGAGTAATTCGAGCGGTATCAAACGATTCATAACTGACAAGTAAAATATGTTGTGCAAATAACAAATTCATATGAAATGAAGAAATTGCCTTCAGAAATGGTATAGGTGTCAATGTTATGTGTCAATGTGAAAAATATTTCACACAGGTGAGGGTGACTCTAAAGGAAATGAATCAATCAGATGAAAATAGCGATTGGGTGTGAAAGTGGCAATTAAGAGCATCAGTAATCGTTTGTAGTTCCAAAGAGACAGACATCTAGTTGAAGGTAACGAATAACGTAACATCAGTGGAAATAGTGTGAACATTAGGAAACGGCTGAGAATGAATCATTGAATCATTACTTAACACATTCGTACGAACGAACATTCATACAAATTATCAGCATTAATCGAGGTTCGAATAATTACCCAGAACAGTTGTGTTCGAATATTTGCTGATGGCTTATAACACTACCAAAATAACGCTCTTCGATGTGTAATGCTAACAAAGGCACTTTTCAAGGAATATTCACCAATTAACCTCACCATGCAAAAGCACTTTTCTACAATATTCCCACTNAATCGTATGATGTGTTCAGAACGACTGACTGCATTGTGAACACTGATTTTGCTATAACTGATAATTCATCCATATAACGTCACTTCATCTTTAGATACCTTCAACTCGTTACGAATCTCCCTTTTTAATGAGTAATCAAGAAACGAAATCGCGAAATCGATAAACCCAACATACATTTAAAAAAAAAACGTTGATTTATCCAATATAAATAGAAGTTAAGTGAAATATTGCGAAGTACTCCGAGAACAGATATCTTTCGATACATGTGTAATCGACAACGTCGATAAGTATGGAGGATTACAGCCAGCTTTGTGGTTGATTTAGTAAAAGCAATGGAACGGAGGATCGATGGAAACATGTGAAATAAGGAAAGTAGAGGCATATTCATTTTATTGTGGATGGATGTAAAGATAGAGGAGATATTTCGAGGATAACAAGCAGTAAAGAATGGGGAGAAGCTATCGATTGAGATAATATGAGAAGGATAAGAGTGGCATGAGAAGATTAAGGATTTCACAAATGCAGAGAATCAGTCAATTGTGATAGTATAAGGCTTAAGGAAAAAGCGATAAAAGTCGATTGTCGAGAATCAAACGATTTTAATGGTACGAATAAGGAATTTGCCTGGAAAACTAAATTTCCTCAACATTTCCGCCATGTTCGTATGCATTACTAGCCAAACGATACTGAAATTAACAAACATGATTTTAATAATATCAATAAAATACTAACGATAACAATCAAATGAATAAAAGAATCGATACTGAATTGAACTGGCAACAATAATTTGTGTGGATGGAATGATGAATGCACTCATGGATATTCGAAGAAAATGCTGAACCTAACAGATACATTCACGGGAATTGGTGCTGATGTTATGAATCTGATAAAATGTCCATCAGATATTACAGGTGAATGAAAATTGCTTAACTGCCCTCAAACTGCAACTGAAATAACTGCTTTGAAATAACGGAACAGCTAGAACGATTCGGATGAATCGATCAAAGTAAACAACAAGTGCAAATGAAAAGAGCACACCCAAACAAAAACGAATAAGATCAAAGACGAAATGCACTGGCAATCGTGAAGCGAAAGCAAAATCAGCTAATCCTAAGTGACTTGAAAACGGCAACGAGATAAACACCTCGAAGAAATAACACCAAAAACAAACAATCATCGATAATACCATCGATGAATCATTCATACACTCAACAGGCTAATCATAACCTTTTATTAGTTTTCAATGTTTGATCAATAAAATGCACAACAAATTGTTTGTAGCGTTTTCTCTGAAATAAAACACGATCGGCTAAATGCAATATGATCGATTATGTTGCAGTTGATAAAATAATGAATCGGTTGTTATATTGTTTATATTTTCAAAATGCTTGAAGAAGATTAGTTGGATGATTGCTCAGACACTTCAACGAATCGATGAGATCTCTTGAAATTGTAAACGGACGTGAATGGAGCAACAGCTAACTGAAGTCTTACACTACCATCAAATAATCGAAAATTTCTCTGAAAATATTTCTTTATTGTTATTTTTGACGACAATTAAACTAATGGACGATAGAATCACAGAAATTTTTATGGGAATTACGATAAAATGATTGAATATTCATGTTTTAAAAAATAAATAAAGTAGCATTAATTAGACGGTATACGGGCATGCAATCGTAAGTACATGAGAAACGCAAGTCATAATAACTCGATTAGGTTGATTGATTTCGATCTAATTAATTGTTTCGATCATTTCAGATCATAACAAAAAATTTGACTGAAAGAATTAGTTAAGAATTCACAGATTAAGCATATCGCATCAATGCATTTGCTAAATCTCATCGGTGATACATTATCTCGTCGATGAAGGTATCCTCGACGGAAATATTGCTTGCTTGCGATCAGATAGTACTTTCTCAATGCATTACACTCATTGTATGTACAGTGGCACTGATCCAATACTAATATAAATTTAGTCTGCTCAATTTTGTGTTGACACGCTTGTAGATGTAGGTGTATTCTTGTTAGCCGTTTTCGCATACCAATTAGCAGTCTCGAATTACGTAGTACGGGCTATGATCTGATATGTCCGTTAAAACACTACTCGAACAGCCGTGTCACAGAAGCTCAAGTTTTGGAAAGGATGTTATGTTATATGTTTGGGGAGGGGATATCTGTGCTCTATCAATCAGATTTACCAGTTAGACAGCTCTGAAGCATGTGGCAAGTTGCGTAAACTAGCCTGTATTTTGGAGTGGCTGGACCCTCCTGTAGCCGACCGACCCTTGGTTATGGGTTGAACAAAAATTTCGAATTGCGTTATAGTTACAAATCAAGCAAAGACAATGGATCTTCTTTATCACCTTTTATCATTTTTGGTACTGGATAGCAGTCAGATTGCTCTCAATAGCATGAAATACTAGAAAGCTGGTTTTCGTTTATATATTCAAATAAAACAACCAAAGAGGTCGCCTGCTGGATCAAATTTGCGCTGAATTTAGGGGTTCATTTAAGACAGAATCTACAGCAGAGATTCTTAACCTGGTCGATATTGTGCACTAGGTGATGAGAACGATATGAGAATGGTGAAAGAGCCAGTAGAAAGACGGACGGGATTCTATCGGGAGATATTGGCTTTCATCGGTCATTGCACATCAATTAGCTCTGACCATCACACTGGAAAGTTCGGGTGCTCATCAGGTGTTTTTGGTTAAAATTGTGTATGTGATGCTCATCAGCGAACACGAGTCATCTGTTACCGCTGTAGGTAAAAGCTGTAATGGTATTGTCTTCTGTACCATTTAGATGCTCGTACTTAACATTAATGTTTCTGGCCATCTAAACCGTCTTCAGATCGGTTCTGAGTTATACGGAAGAGGAAACTGGTGATTTGGTCGCACGCTCAGTTCAACTACGTGATACGCTGAAAAAGACTGAGAACCTTTGAGTGTGATATACAAAACCGATTGGTTTATCCCATAAATACTTGATTAACTCTAAGCGATTCGACTGGCCTCTGATTTTCTGTAGCGAACAATACTCAACGAACATTTGGTCTTTCATACATCTCAAAATCGTTTCACTCATTAAACCTGTTGATTGATAAATTCTCATGAAATGTAAACGCATTGTTCAGCTCGTGATGAAATTTCAAATTTATTTCATGCATTAAAAGTATCTGTGTACATATCGTATGGATTCATTTTCAGCTGATGAAGTGAGTGATGAAAATAGTACTTGATGCGATTAGAGAAGACATCCGCTGAAATTTTCTCACGATGATCATTCGAATTGTTCAACTGTGGCTGACTGACATACTTGTTGAAATCTTCATCCAACAAAAAATGCATTGTCATTTGATATTTCGGAATGATCATAGATTAGTATGAAAAACAGTAAATGATCGACGAATCATTTCATTTCACAACTCAACGATAAATGACCAAACTCTTTGATATAATAACATAATTGCATCTCGTTAATAAATAACGACAGATGCAAACAACTGCAGTAATAATAGTGACATTATCACCTTTCACAGCATTAATATTATTACTACTATTATTAATTACTATTGTTATTACTATTATCATTATTATCGATGTTATATTCATTGATACCGCTAAACAAACTTATTTTAATAGCGCCCTCCTTGATCAACAACGGTNGAAGCATCAGCAGTTAAATTAGCATTGAATGAGAAAAGATGACTGACTCAACAATACCCGATCGATACCGATTTTGAATAGTCGAGAATATGGACAAGTCGAAGCAGTGCCATGCACACAATATATCAAAACAAGTGAAGTGCATCATCAATTCATTGATAACAAACAAAGTGATTGCTTCAAACCGACGCGCATGCATCCATGATACGATGTGTAATACGTATGTATATCTGTGCAACCAACAATAAATGTCAACCGTTGTTTAAAACATCTCCAAGCAGACAGCCATCATGCACATACACACACACTTACATGTCATGCAACTACATTGACGAATATGTTCGACTAGAATATAGCATGTATGCATGCATAGAGACAGATACGTAGAAGCAGCATGAAGAGAGATTGAACATATATATCATGATTAGTGCGTCTATATTCATAACAGCCAGCACTCAACGAATGAGCGTTTTGGTGATGAATTCGCGCACAACATCCCGAATGCAAATCAATCGACAACGATGAGAATGCATTAAATCGGCTAATAGAAGAGTACAACCAGCCAAATGCAGTGGATGATTGTGTGAGAGTGACAGATGGACTTATGGCATTGTTAAATGCGATTGGAGGAGATTATAATTTATCGTTTATTAAATGTTTCATGAANCATGAAATCTTGCTTTAATTTTTTATGCATGCATTTATAGTGCACCGAAGCATACGATTATTAAATGCTGAATGTGAAAAATAATACTTTATTCAAAAGTGAAGTAAAATTTGCAAAAGGTATTATAGCAGTTGTGACAGTTCGAATAATTTTCATGAATACGACGAATAAATTCCTCAATTATATCAACTTGTCGTTAATAAATATTTCATCATTCAAAATACTACACTGCGCAGCATAATCGTTTGGAAAATGATGGTCCCTGATGGAAATTTTTATATTTCGACAGCTCCGAATATTTTGATACTTAACAACATGACAAAGGGACTTTTAGAGTTTAAGAAATCTAGTCTTGTGCGAAAAAAATTGAAAACAAAACTTCACTCGCTGGAAACATTAAATCGTCGGCAGTTTTGAACACTGAGAAGAAACCAAAAAACGGAAGTGTAAAATAAACATAAAAATTAATATAAAAATTTGCCAACCACACCTGCAATAAATTAATGAGCAATAACGATAACAACGTAAACGAAATAATAACGAGAGAACTATCGATTGTGAATCGAACGATGAAGCAATTAGCGAGGTTGGTGGTGATTCATCGACGCAAAGCAATTAGTTGGGATATGCCTCGATGAGCATTCCAACACCGTGCCCACCCGAGGCACACGAAGCGATCAGACCAAACTGACCTGCAATATGTGAACTGTTTCACAAGCATCACGACGAAACTGTGGTTTTACTTAACAAAGAATGGAATCTAGCATTCAGATTCAAATAGATCGTACGTAATGTATGCATTCTTTAAATTTCCCAAAGCTTCATTTTGTTTAGGAGAGATGTGGTGTGCAAACACACAGAATGTGCACCAGAGCAAATGCGTACGTTGCACTGATCAAGCGCTCAAAGCTGCTCCGAATCTGCTTACCTATTCGAGACACAGTGTGAACTAGTGTTTTACGGGGAGTCCCCGAATCCCCGTCCCCGACCGTTTTGCGGCTACAGCCATTTTCGGGCATTGTCGCCGTCCCCAAAATGTTTTCGATTATTTCTGTCCCGACTTTTTTCTCTCCCCGCACAACATTAGTGTAAAGTAAACGAAATCGACCATTTCATTTCCAAACTCACTCCAAATTGTGCTCATATTCAGTTAGGTGAAAATGAATTACCAGTATTATTAAATAAATGAACACAAACCATTTTCATGTTTCAGTCGATTCGCCGTATGTGATGCCAATCGAATTCCAGTCGCACCAAACGGATGACCTAATGATAAACTTCCACCCCACAAATTCATTTTGTTCTCTGGTACTCGACCAAATTTACCGCTTCGTTTCAATTGCGACTTGAAATTTTCGAATAATATTCATTGGGCAAACAGATACCTTCACAAGAAAAATTTGTAAATTCAGATGCTTTTCATCAGACAAATGTAGGGTTCCATCAGGTAATCGAATTTTCTCATGAATCCTATTTGACACTGAAAAAAGCGATGTTCACGTACCATAAACCGTTATCTCTTATACTCGGACTTTGCGAAGTGCAAAATAAAAACGAGTACACTTACTTTACAGAAGAACTCTGAATCGAGTGCATTCAAATTCGCAAGAATTTGTCCCGCAAAAGCCTCATGAATTTCGAACACATCGATATCTTGCAGCGTCAAACCGACCTGAAACTCGAACCATTTTAAAAGGATCGATATTATGATAATTTTTCACAGCTGTCTGCGAAGGCAATCATAAAGATTCAATTACTGAAAGACTGTTCGCTGCCACTTAATTACAACCTATCAAATTAGATGAATGAACGAATTAAAAACGAAGCAATGGACAGGCACACAAAAAAGTTTCGAAAAACTGAAATGCTTCAAAACATGAATACCAGTCATCTCAAATGATGGATTAGAACAAAATAAATGAAAAACAAACTTTGTCGAGCAATTTTGGAATGACATAGGCGGGTGACAACAGAAGTTGATCGATAGGATCCTGTGCAACATATTGAAAATCACGAAGATACGCCTTTGGTTTATAGCCATGTTTCAGCGCATAATCCTCTGTCATCAGTAGCGCTGCCGATGCTCCATCAGTTAAAAATGAGGCATTTCCTTGAAAACAGTGTTTGATTTGAACGCCATTGATTATAGATCAAGGAAGGTTAGACTTCCTATGACCATTCCTGATTACGAACCACTCAAAATGTGCTCAGTGGAAAGAGGAGTGCTGTAAAAGTTTGTGACTAATTCCAACAATTCTGTCACATTACTATTCTCAAACATAAACAAGTAATTTAAAGCTTCAGAAGCAATACCAGCAGTAATCGTTCCATGTGGCTTTATGAATGCTGGTTTCAGCTTCTCCAATTTTTCCATACTCGCAATACGAATACCGTTATCTTTGGTTATGGTTTTTGGTTTTTTACCAGGTACAAATACGGGTACCACATCGTTGAGATGACCCTCTCGGACGGCACGATCCGCCGCAGTATGTGAACGAATCGCGAATTCATCTTGTTCCCTATAAGCCATCGCAGATGATTGATTAAGACAATGAAATTGCTTGACATTGTAGTCGCGAAACAGATTAAGTTGAATCATAATCAATTGAGACTCGTGTATTGATTACAATCTTTCGAGGTACCTAGCAAAATCAACCCAAACTTACTGTGAACATCGCCAGTGCTATATTTTTAAATAGTGTTCAACGATGCTCCAAAAATTCTTGGAATGAACAAGGAAATAAGATGATGAGAAACCTTCTCGAAACACCGAATGCAGCTGCAAGTCGATCCGCACTTTGACCCATCGTTTCACCAGATGTGAATTCAGCAATTGCTGGCAGTTCAGGATTGAAGAAATTACTCAATATGTCTTTACCTAATATCAGCCGTTCATCCCATTTTTTCGCCCTCGGTAAACTTAACATTGCAGTACGAGCCTGAAATACACAATGACTGTTTTTAGCGACAAGTCGTTGCATTCACTCTCAAAAAAAAAACTGAAACTTTTCCAGATACGCTCAAACATGTCAAATCTCTTTGAATATTTATTGACAGCTTCACACGTTTTTGGATGGAAGGTAACTACAACTGAAATCTTTGTGGAAAATATTCGTTAGAAATGATGAGAGTATAACCTTTCGACTGTATCGAATTGGAACATCAGAAAGGAAATCGACTCCACCCGCAATACCGACATCAATATAACCGGTTGCTAGCATTCCCATCAGATCGGTCATCGCTACATTCGACGAAATACATGCCATTGTCACTGTAGACGCTGGTATCTGAATTCCAGTCAGTTATAGAGAAAAACTTTAAAAAGGTAATTTAACTCATATGATGACGTTCACTTCACAACACTAAGTGGATTACTGATTCCATACTTTATTTTCAGGGCATAACGAACACTCAGTAAGTAGTTACTAATTCAATTAAGTTGAGAAATTTAACGAATGCTTCAGGTCGTCATGAAACCGCTACTCAATAAAACTTTGCATGAATTTTCCAGAGCTGAAATTTCGAAGCCACAGAAACTGATATTTTTGACTTTGAAGATCGAAGTCCTGCGGGATGAACAATCAATTTATATGCTTTTGCGAACCACTCAAAAATCGATTTTTCCATACAGAATTTTGCAGAAATGTACAAAAACAGGAAAGAAATGTAGCAATGTGATCATATTTCCATCTCACCGTATTCGGAAATCCAGCCGTGAGAGCTGCTTCTCGTGCAATATTACTTGTTCTGCATTCTTGTATGACCGTCCCGCACACTATATGACCCACTTCATCCAAAGGAATTTTTGTTTTATCCACCAACGCTGCAATTTTATTATTTGAAAAACACTGAACTTTAGATAATCGTAAGCAATTATTTGAATACAAAAATAAACTAACTATTCTTGGCCCAATTGAATACTTTCAAAATATTTGTTCAATAAATCAGTTTGCGACATATATGGTTTTCAACGAGTTCTTCCTTGGGAACAACTGATAAAATTTGCAAATTAGGCTTCAGTGAGTCGCCCACAGATTGTGAGTTTTGCTACCGTACAAGTTTATTTATTGCTATTCGCTCTGAACTTTCAATCTGACTTTAAACGGATTTACAGCAGCTGGATGAACCGGAAAAATCCGAATTCAACGGGAAAGAGCAGTATTTGGTGGATATGTGTGCGTGTTTGTTGCCTGTGACCTTTTCGATGAATCCCCTAAACTTAACGATTCCAAAAACCGATTGTAGTATACTTTGGAGAAAAGTATGCAAATCGTATTCAAACTGAATGAACACAGAACATGTTTCGTAACAAACAAAATACCAACCGATCAATGCAGCGCGCTGTAAATCGTTCGCAATCATATCCTTATAATCGGTTAATGACACCAGAAACGGCGTTCGGACGGCATCAATTAGAACTATATTTGGACGTCCTGCTTTAGCGAGGGTTCTTTTTGTGGTTGATGGTGGTCTTGGCGTTGTCACTGACGACGGTTTCGCTTTCACATCAGAAACCGATGACGGATTTGGTGTTGACGAACGAACAGATGTGGGCTTCGGTTTGGATTCAGAAACCGACGATGCTGGTGGATTAGCGGGCGTTGCCGACGAGAAGAATCCGGGTGATGTGTAACGTATCCAATGCGACATCAACTGAGAAGTCCCACGCCTCCATAATGTCGCACGATGCATCAGGATCCTTCAACAAGGAAACATCAATCATTAATCGATCGAGAAAATTGCAGTCATTTTCTCGATAAATAAGAATGTTTTTGGGAGTGCATAAAGCGAGTGAATAATCTCGTTTATCATAACTGCGATCAAGGGTGCAGATGAACATTATGCATATCACAACCAAACGAGGATGGTCTACAAGTTCAAGTCACATTCCACTACCACCAGCTGCATTTTGAACACTGTTCTCAAGTTCACACAAGAATTATTTCGTAAGGTTCTTGCCGCATTCACTTCAGACATTTCTTAAATCTCATCAAAAAATTCGATAATCAAAGATGTTCAAGATGTCACTTAAAGATGTCACTCAAAACGATAACTTTCACGAGTGAAACATCAAGACCGCTAAAAACAAATGCGAAATCTGATCAATAAATTTCCTCCAAACCGAAAAAAACATCACATACAGCGACCACATTGGGAATCTTATCACCAAATGATGCGTAAATATCCATTAAGCGTCATTTTCCCCCGAAACAATACAACAAAATCATGAACAAAGTCCATCTTTCATAATCCAAGACAAACATCGCATCAATGAAACTTTGTAGTTTGTACATTGATCTCTCAAACGTTTGCACTGCAAAAGGACGATGACGATGTGTGTAAGCATGTTGCCACTGAATGCTGTATTCATTTCCTCATTAACAACCTATCCGATTGGTGATTTGTGAACGGGACATTCGAATGGAAAGGCGTATTTGAGCACAAAAATAATCGTTGTCAGCAGAAGAATGAAATCGGTGTTGAGATCAGATTTTAACCTACGACAAATGCAGTTGATATAGAAGCGAAACAATAGTCGAAAATTACATAAAAGAAACTGAATGAATAATAAATTCGCGAGCGAAACAACGCTAAAGTTGTGTTGTTGATAAAAGATTACCTGCACAGCAAGAAATATTACGTCGATATTGGTGCACATCATGCGCAGGCAATCTTTCGCCAACAACACAACATAAGTATTTTCATTTATCCACAGATGAGCGAATCTTCCAACATTGACGATGAGTGCCTATAAATGAGCAAATTGAACAAAAAATAGCGCTAATCAGTGAAGCTAAATAAAGTGTTCAAAAAACACCTTTAGCATGTAAATCGAGTATTCTAATACAAATTTCAAGCATGCCACGAAACCAAGTCCGCAGTCACGGCTGAGTGGAAAAGAATTTTGTAAGGCAAGGTTTTGTTAGGGAGCTGAAAACTGACTCCTCTCATAGAGGAAATTGTCGCAGAGTAGATAGACGAGAGCATCAAGGAAAAGCTTTCAACCTGAGAGCTTCATCTAGCTAAGCAAGGCGATCTTCGTTAGCAGCTTGCTGCTCACGATAATATTATGTTGTCACATCATGTCAGATGAACAGAAAAGAGTATTTATAGATCTGATGCTGGCACTTATTTGGAAATCTTTATTATTATTTTCATTACTCANTAACAAAATGAATTGAATATCAATGCGATAAATCGGAACACTGAATCACAATAATCACTGATAAAATGAAGGACGATGGAAATAGCCTCAAGTATTTACTATATTTAGGAATGCGCATTTGCTGTTTCCTTTCACTGTCGCCTAAAGCGATTACGAATCGAAAATAAGGTACATAAAGGCGAACGACTAACTGAATGGAAATTGGATCCAATGAAGCAATTAATCATTTCGAAAATATTTGGGAATCACCAATAGAGCAAAATAAATGGGGAGAATCGTATTACTCCTCAGTGCTGTTGTGTAGCAATTTTCCGGCTGAAAGGGGATCTCGTCGAGGAGTAAATCATCGGGGAGCATGTTAGCCGAGGAGAAATCTAGTGCTGATTAGTTTTTTGGGCATATTGGCCAAGGGCAAACTTGATGAGGTGAGAGTGACCGAGACCATTTTGCTTAAAATAGTTGTTTGCTGAGGCACACCGTTATATCGACGAGAGACTTTGATTCATGAAAGTTTGATTTCCCTTTTATGAATTCTTGAAAGTCTAATTTCCCTTTCGTATTGTCGCATTTTTGCTTAAACGAAATCATTTACTCATTAGCGAATCAATCCTTCACATCGATAGCGAAAGGCGAGCAAATATGAATATCGCAGTTACGAGTATAAGTGAAGATTTACAGCGACTCATTGATGAGTTCAGATGCATCGCACAAGTGAAAAACACAACAGAAAAACACAACAATTGGAAAGAACATATGTTAGCAATCATGAATTCTCAAAAGGATGCTATTTCATTAACGGAATTTATACAGTTATTTATTAAAAGAGTGCCATTAATTCCGGATAGCGAATAGAAAAAGACGAATGTTGATAGTGACAGTGAGGTATTGATAAATGATAACGAGTCATCATGATGATCATTAGGTTAATTGCATACATTCCATTATTGTCAATCCAGTTATTCTTTANGTATATTTTATTGAACTGTTTTCAGCAGAATAGTTCTCATCTTCTGCAGATACTTCCGAAAACTACGAAACTTCTTATTCAAGCCCTATTGAAGAGAAAATCAACTTTCCTTTTGTCTTACAAGGAAATCAATACACAGTTTTTATTGTCGGGTTAATGATGTCGTTTGTAATTGAGTATTTCATTGGAAATTGGAAACAAAATGCTGAGCGGAGTCTAGACGGTAAACACTTCATTTGGTATTGGTACCATCAGTGACTCTTTCTCATCGTCCCCTCCTGGGAATGTCCGCTTGGTACTTTCTCGTCTGCTGGGCCCAACCGCAACAGTGACCAAAGGTGTCGTTTGTTGCGCTGAAAGATTGTAAGGACTGTCGGGCGCATTCAATGCCTCTGAAAATCAAACCACTTCGTTGTTTCGTTCCTCATAACAACACAACAGATGATGTAGGAGTTTAAAATGCCTTTATGAAATGGTGTCTCGTAATCACAGCATAAAAGGGTTCGTAAAAGATATAGAAGTGCATCTCTGTGAGTAAGATGGTAAAATGTGATAAATATTTGTGGAAAACTAACCGATATCATTTTTGAGTTGTCGTATCAAATCTTCATTATCAGCCTCTAAAAGACGACCCTTCGTCAGATGATGGATGATGCCCGCACCAAAGCCATCACCCAATACGTTAACACTTGTTCGTACACGATCTCTAAAAATTCTTGGTCGAATTACATTTGTTTCTAAAGCGACAATTATACCTTATTATACGTACTGCTACTGCATGTATCATTGCAATTATTCAATCACTTTAGCGGAACACAATAATTCACTTACAACAGCCAATCAACGGTCAGTAATAGACTGAGATTATTAGCCGGAAGTCCCACAGTGGTGAGCACTATCAGTATGGTGTCAAGACCTGCAGGTACGGATCCAGAACCGATGGACGCAACCGTCGTTGTGACACTGTAATTTGAGGTTGTTATGTCACGGACGGGAAGAAATGCTCAAATCTCGAAGTGCTCTTCTTTATTGCAAGTGTTCTGTGTTTTGCTTTTTAGGGTTCATTGATGAAGATTACACATTACTCAGCATACGAATATAGTCACTGAATGACTGGGAGGGGTCAGTAAAGTTGAGGACTTTAAAATGTGCAAGGAAAAGAAAAACTGGATGGGCAAGGAAAGTAGTGCTATGGACAATAGTAACTAGACGAAGAGATGCGCAGGGTGGCAGCCTGGAAATGGAAAAAGAGGTCGTAAGCGACCGAGAGCGAGATGACGATATCGAATATGCAAAATCGCGGGTCAAGCGTAGATGCGAAAAGCAGTCAAATGTGATCGTAGGAGTGATCTTGAAGAGGGTTATGTAGGAGATTCGCATTAATTAGCTGTCAATGAGTGAATGAATAAATAAATAAAGAAATAATGAAATAAATGAATGAATAAACAGTCTTAAATAAACTGTTTGTGAACTGAATTATCAATAATTACTCTCTTTCCCTCTCTCTGATAACCAGCTTGTTCAAAGAACGGTAACAAACGAATAATGACAATAATCATTTGTTATGACCAAACTTACCTTATAGTCAGTAATTCAAGTAATGTCAGCTGCACATTATTAAGTTGAGCGATAAAAATAACTGCAACTGCTTCATAAAGAGCCGTTCCATCCTGTAATGCCGTTTCTGCGCTTTTCAAGGTGAATAATTTTCCTATGCGAGATATTTCTTATTTAATTAGCATGAATAAAAGATAGAAGCTAAATGAGCAGGAAACATGACGGTTATTGGGTTGAATCGGTTTGCTGAAATACACGATAATTTCTGTGCGTTATTTTTGATAGTTTGGGATGAAAATGACCATTCATAGATAACGTTACTAGACAGCTACATGACATTGGAGCCCGCCCGCTCTGCCGGCTTCTGAATAGCAGTGAGACATGTACAGTTCGATCTAATAAGTTTGTTCCCCATACTTTTGACTGCTGCCCTTTGCGGCCATCTGGGCATCTCTTATAGATTGTGGCCTAAAGCACAAGTTAAGAGTTTATGCCTATGCCATATAGCTGTCTATTACGGCACGTCCATTCCTATTGCTAAAATCAATTCCCACCATTGCGATTGTCGCTCCAAGCGGTAATACGAATCGTGTGACACGCCGATCGATTTTTAGATCATCCTCGAGACTTCGAAACGTCACCGGTAATGTGGCACCACTTAATTGAAAGTAAATGAGTGTGCAAATGTATCATTAACTAATTTCGTGTGATCCTTACAATGGCATCTCTTAGGCATGATCTGTCGTTGATTCGGCAACTTAATACAACCAAGACTAAGGAAGCTAATTGTAAGCATGCTATAAAATTTAACTGTTTGCACTGATAATGCGCATTCGATGATCGAAGTTCCGTATCAGAATGGCTGTTCCAGACAGTAAAGCATTGTTACTTGGGAACTGAGCAAAACGAACGAATTCGTCAGTAGTGGATTTTCGAGGTGACAGTTAAATAAATAATTAGTGAATTGAATGGAATAATGAATACCTTGATGCAGTACCAAATGCAGTAGCGAGAGCTTGTAACATACCAGTCATAAAATCAAACGGACTTCTTCTTACTACAACAAAGTACAATAACGGCAGCGTTAATAAAGAGTGAATCATAAGTCCACACATTACTGTCACAACATACATCGCTAACGCTTGTGCTGTTTCCGATAAATTATCAATATCAACGATGTTTTTGCACACCAACGATAGGATACCAATCGGATAGCACCTTAACACAAACAAGAATTAGTTATCAAAAAAAAGATAAAATTATGAAATGGAAATGTGGAATAACATCCCAAAATGACAAACCACATCAATGCTGATATCCATCGCATAATAATAGCATCCAAAACGATAAAAAAGTTTATCATTAATCTCGCCTGTTCACCCAAGACACTTAATATAACACCGAAACCAGTGCAGAAGACAATCAAACCTAGAATTCGGAAGCAATTTCAATTTATTTGTGTATCATTTGAACTGAAATAATTTTTTACTTATTCATTCATCTGTCTGCGAATAAAATTTTTAGCACTTGTAATGTGATGCTTACGATAACATTTGAGCATTTTATAAGAATGGATCGTACTTCTCATAGCGGAATGTATTCATCGCAAGATGTTGTCAGCAGATGTTAGAAACGTACCCAGAACATTCATTTCATTTGTATATTCCAAAACCGGTTTCATAATCGGCTTCTCCATGGTCCCATTAATTGCACTACCAGCTTTCAACAATCTCGGCTTCACAGCCACATAGTTTGTTTGCACTTGTTGGAATGTTGCCTGGATTATATTCTCGGGGAACATATTCCTGAAAAAGCAGCAAATAATCCGAACTCGTTGCCAAAATAACTGTTAGAATTACGAGTGGAAATCATTTGCAATGTAATTATTCGCTTTTAAATCCCTACGGTCATAAGTTTATTATTCAAAATCAAATGCTCTTATCTGTTACTTCCGTCATTCTAATTTGTAAACGACAATAGGATCATAGGGGGCGGTGCAGTGATATTTGTAACTTTCACCATTACTGTCAGGAAAGGATTTCAATGTGTCTCCTTCGTAAGTTAGTGAAGGTCATTTTTAATAAGAAAACAAGTTGTTCCTGGCAAAAAAAGATCGAGGAAGTAAATTAATTATTTGAATTTAATTGGCCATCAATCAACTTCATGAAATACATTTTTCAAATATTATGAAATAAAGCATCGTTCGATATGATGACAGAATCGAAATAAACCTGATCTGATCGAGAAATGTATCCAATGTTGATAGTGCAGTATCATCGAGAGTGCCTTCACCGAGCATATGAATGAGATGTGGATCACCCGGATGTATTGACGACACGAGAATTATACCTGTCTTAAGTTGACTCGTGCTTCAATTCGACATCTTGAGGAAATGGTCCTTACTAGCTGATATCACAGAATCGCAATTTTTCAATGGCTTATGTACGATATTCGAATGAACGATGCTATTATTTTTATGTCGCTTCATACGCAGTGAAATTTGTTGAAAATGGCACAAATATAAATCAGAATTCATTAAAACGGACCGCGAAGTGATTGAAAAAACTTACGAATGTTGATAAAAATGTGGTTGTTAAGTAGTAAATGACAGTCATCATTCCAATTTGGCCAGCATCTCGAGCTCTTAATTGTGAAAGTGCTGAAATTTTGTTTTCATTTATCGCATTTCTGTGTTCTAACTTTCAAACGAATTTCTTAGAATTTTGTAGGCGAGCGTTCATATTTTTAGCTGTATTGTATTTTTCAAGTAGATCCCTGTGAATTTCTCTTCCCCAGTTTTCTAATGTGTTAAATATTTATTAAATGATATGGTTCCCAATCAGCTGCATCAAAAATGATATTTGCTGATGATCAGAAAACGTGTTTTCAAAAATGCGAACAGTGATCATTGATCAGTGAACATCAGTTGAGTTCTTAGAGGAGCGAGTTGGTAAATGAATTTCCTTCCCAACCCGAAAATATGAAAACTATTACCCAGTGATGTTTTTAAAAGTACTTTTGTTTTCTTCTGTTATAATTAAATGAAGTACAACTGAATATTTCAATGAATAAACGAACCTGAAATAACCGATGAAATGATCATCGGTAGAATCATCATTTCAACAATTTGCATGAATATTTCACCAGGAAATCCGATCAGACTAATTGCATCGTTACTATAAAATGCTACACAATCATAAGATCTTCATTTCGAGAATCCTAAACTTTTGGCTTTTAGAAAAAAAAATAGAATCTAACTTTTAGATCTAAAAATCCTAACTTTTAGAATCCTAAACTTTCACTTGGCACTTACCATTCGATTCACCAATTCTTTATCATGTCATAGTGTCATAAAATAGTGACCTTCGAACAGTACTCCATTTCACAATATGCCCTATCAAACTGTGTCGAAAGCGAATAATACGTTCGTTGTTGTGAAATGAGCGCATAATAGGAAAAGATACCTGGGATTAAAAGGTCGAATGATGAATCCAAGCACGATACCGACAACAACCGACTCGATTGTTAATACTAATAAGAGATCACTCTTAGATTTCATTTCACTCTTCGCCTACAAGAACGATAACGATGGTGAGTGGATCACGTAAAGTCTGACTTAATTGAAGAATATGAAAAAACAGCAAAGTGGTGCGATGAAATGGACATGAAAATATGTGAGTGTATATCAAGTAAAATATTGTCGCTTCTATCACAACTATACAATGACCAAATTCATGGATGAAATGCGACATTGTAACGGCTTTGATGGAGGAATGGCATAAAGTATTGTTGGAAGCTGTCGTCAATATGATACATTCAATAACAGAGCATAGCATTATAGTTATGCCATAGTTAATCGCATAATAACCAATCGAATATGTTATTACCCTAATTAATATTCTATTATCCTACTACTGCTATCATTGTAAGTGAACGGCGTTCGAATGTGATGCTTTCGTTTTATCTTCATTTTACGTGGTAGTGCGCAAGAAATTGTGATTCGACTGAGTATTTCTAATATCGGAAATTGAGCAAGAAACATGGTTTTAATGGTGAGTGGACAAGACAAAACATCTTATTGTTAGAACAAAATGCAATAGTGATGAATGGTAAACGAAATCTTCAAAATACCGAGACATTCCAATAACACATCTGGTATTATTGATGAGATGTCGGAAAATCGCAATTTGTACAGTCAACGGTTGATGACAATTTTTTTCTATTTTACACTGTTGTAATGTTATTTCCACGAGCTTCACAGCGATTTCAGTACGTGGTCTCAGTATGTTATCAAAATTTGAATTGTGATATAAAGGATTAGGTTCGTTCGATTGACCACATATAAGAAGGTGATAATTAAAACGCTCTAGGCAGGAATGTACATCCCAAGAAACATCCATTGCACGAGGTAGAACATTCTTTGCGAATGAAAATTGAGAGTAATATTCGAGAAAAAAGCAAACTGTACCAAATGGATGCAAATATAATGAATTAGACCTTGAGACGAGCAATCATACTGAACCGCTTTTTTAAGGTTTTGATATGGAAGGCAACTTATTTGATTGATGTTCGATCGATGTGTGTCTGTTCAAAGGTGGAGCACTCGGAAATTAACCGTTGTTGATCGCAAACTTAATGTCAAACCAAATTCAGTTCGTAGCTCCCAAAAAGGATGATTCTAACGTGAGACCAGATTTGATGCATCTTCACTGAACCGTACACTACCAAACCTATCGCCAACATTATGATGAGATTCAATCAATAACATTTCTTGATCAGTTAATTCTTTTCGAAATCCTCAATTCATATGCAATGTTTTTTGAGTGCGGTCGTTTACCATCTTTAAACATTTGAATGAAGCAAAACAACCAGCAAAACTTGTGACCACTGCAAATTCTCGTGATATAATATATTGCTGAAGAAATGAATTGCCAATGATTTGCTGAGATATTCGAGCAAGCACGATGCATCATAAGAATTGTAAATGTAAAAGTGGATTGCAACCGAACCGCAGAGGGATAACAATATGATAACTGAAAGAATAAAAACCATAGAAAATAACATTCATATAAATTGAAAACTCAGATTATCAGGCAGGCGAATGCGAAGTTGTTTCACGGGTAAAAACCATCACCAAACCTGTTCCACTGAAGGTTGTTGCTGTTCGATAAACAACAGCGCAGACGAAGCTTTCAAAATTTCTGATCATATAAATCATTTTATCATTCCCCTCGCTATTTTATATCACTATTCAAACAATTACTAGAAATTCAACTGTATTGCTGCTTTCGAAATCCAGAATTTCAGTAGAATCAAGAAGACAAAAAAATCGTCGGTTGCTTGTCGTTTCGTAAGAAGTAAATAGATATCAAGAGGTAATCAAATCTGAGGAAAATGTTTGACGCATGTTTATGCTTGGAATTACAGTCTGAATCAAATAAATAACTTAACTCACGATTCTTTTTTTTCGAGTACAGGAGATTCTCTGTTGTTGGAGAAGTTTGTACGTTGTCGAGGGAACAATGTTCAGCTCCAAAGATACAGTTGATTTTGTGACAACATCCTTTCATTAACCTTTTAATTCGTCAGTGACTCGTAACCGATCCATATACCCCTTTGCGGTCCTCTTTCTCGATTTTGAGTCAAGGTAAAGGCCTGAAATAACTGGTAATGGTATTTGTTTTTAATAACATTGCACTTTTTTGGTCTCAAATTCACCTTTGTCATCAGCCTAAAAACAAATTTTGCTCTGATGTAATGATGTAATCGGCTCACTTGCGACCCACTTAGGCAATGGTGTAACTTCTTTTTTTTTTTTAAATATCAGTTATTTTGACAATAATGGGCCTGTAGCATTTCTTGGCAATGGAATGCCGTTACAAGCAGTAATTTTTTAATGTGATGGCAGCTGGTTGCTTACATTAGACATTGTAGCGTTCGGTCAATTTTGTTGTAGTAACCTTTGATGAAGATACTGCCTTACTGTTGCATGATTCTCCTTCTTCTTCTTCTTATTTAACAGCCGGTAGTTAGGAATGGGGAACATTCTCATTTAGCTTTCAGCTTCTTGAGCTCAAGTGTGTAATATTCTGCACTCAAAAGGGCGACAAACCTGTGGGTAAGGTGAATTAGATCCCTTAAGGATAAATTGGGTAAGTTCACCCGCTTGAGTAAGTTCACGGATAAATTGGGTAAGTTCACGGACATGTTGAACACCGCTGTGAAGCACATCAAAACGAATGTGTGGTATTGCATGAAAAGGAAATGCACAGATGTAACTGAATGGGTTCCAATTAGTGGTGTCCGACCGAGAATCAGTCGAAAAAATCCGACAAATTTCTGTCAGAATTCCGACATTCGTATTCCGTCCGAACAATTCCGACAGTCAGTCAGAATGCCGACTGTCGGAATGTTGAAGTGCCGGCTCGGTCAGATTCTGATCAACATGAAATTTCGCTCGGATGCCATCAGTAGTTCCAATTGACTCCGTTGAACGTAAGAGTCACTTTGTCAATGTTCTAATCAATACTACATTTTTTTCTGAGAACTTCCATCAGTATTCATGAAGTATGATAGCTGTTCCCGTCATTAATCACTCTTGCCTCAATGCTATTCGAGTTGTTTACGACGCACTCACGTAAAAGCGTATTGAAAATGATCACAGGCATCCAACAATTAAGAGGATATAGAGAGAATCAGTTCCATGCTGCCTGCATGCCGAAGTTTGACCAAGAAAAACAACGTTTTTTTTTGCACCATCACCTACAGCAGATCTATTTCTATCAAGCATATGTTGTTGATGAATAATGTTCATTCCACGGATTGAAGTAAGTTTTGAAGGTTTGTCATACCTGAACGACTGTATTGTTCCGCTTATTCCTACAAATTGTATTTCCATTAATCAATTTATGCATTATGTTAGAAATATCAGGATGTTTTCAAACTAATGACATTCTCAGGTTTGCCCAGTAACGTAATGAGTTTTTGACTCCATCAGATTTCGCATACTGTTCAACTTCTGAAAAGTTCATGTGCCGTTGGAGCATTATATCCACGTAATGAAATTGCTGGATTTCTGAAGGTATGTCATCTGATCACGCGAATTGGTTATATTGACAAAATACACTCATACATCTCATCTGGATGTTAATCACCAACAGCGAAGTTAAAGATATCTCGGGCAACAAATTCAAGTTACGTGTCTGCAAGTTTTATTCAACAGTCTCATGATTTGGTGGCATTATCAAGCGGAGGAGATTAGCGTTTTTTGGGAAACTGTACATTTCGTTGATGGATTATGGTTACGGCTAGCTCCGGAGTTGTACTTAAGTTACTGAGCGAGTATAGTTCCATCGGAACTTTTTCGACGTTCAAAAACAGCAGTAATTACAATCCTTCTCAGCGCAGTTTTCAGACGATGCATTAGCTCAGCTATGAGTACTTTTCTGANAAGCACTTTCAGAAATGTTCTCTTACTAATCAATTCGAACGGAGATCGTAGGCTGTGGGAAAATAATTTATGAAAAGTCTCACTTAATTGCAAAAGGGTAGATTCGGCAATAAATGGCATGATTTTACAGTTTTCCACGATGTTTTCCAATGATTTCTTGGAAAACATCCGACCGATCGTGAACTCAGTTCGCAGGCGGTAGTCTCATTTAAAGATTTGATGAAATGCAGCGTAAGCTTCCTGGAAAGCATATCAGAAAATGGATAAATTCGTTTCGTTAAGGAGCAATGTTGTCCAGAATGTTCGTCATCCAGTTCGTCTGACAATGAGTATCATTGGCTAGGTCGATGATTCTTTGATTTTAAACTGGTAGTGACAAAACTAATCTTGAAGTGGCATGTTCATCTCAAAAATCTTTGATTCCGGATGTGTTTTGCATACTATTGCGTAATCTTACTGAAATGGTTGGATCTTTCTGAACGTTGATTACTCCTTTGAGGATATCACACAATAATCAGGCATTCAGAGGTTATTTACGATAGGTCCAATCAGGCTTCATCTGAATTCAGCTTTTCAAAGTAAATTAATTTCACTTGATAAGTTACAAATATTATTATGCAGACATTTCTGTATCGTATCTCTTTCGATCATTTCAGTCCACCCAAAGCGATGTTCCGGCTTAATTCTAGCTTAGCAGAGCTCGAAAACACTTTTTTCTGGTTTGTTTGAAGGGAACGTGTTTTAGGTGTTGATTTGGTGNCGTGAATAATAAATTATCACGGCTTATGACAAATAGCTGATGACGTGCGTATTTATCACTAAACGATATCACCGAACGAAAATGATATTTATTGCTTATTCATAACGATTTAGTTATTATGCTATTTCTTAATTTCATATTTCATTTTCGATGAATTATTACTGTGCATTCATTCGCAACACATAAACTATGCTCGCATGATGCTTTCTTTATGTTTTTACTTTGATTGGGAATATTCACTGCATTTATTTTGCACGTTACATTGCACTTGGTCGTTGCTCGAAATTTGCACATAACATTTCATCATTCCGTATGAATTCTTCTTGACGATTCGACCATAGTTCCTAAA